TAGGACATGAGGAGCAGATGGGTCATGTAGTGATGGGTGTGTAGCTTACCCAGTGGGCAGTTAGGTCTCACTAAGCCTCCTGGCTCAGCTGTGAGGTTGGCAAACGACCACTAGTCAAATTCTATGGCTCTTACTCTTTATATTCATTTAACTTTTTTTTTTTTCCGTGGAACCAGGGATTGAACTCAGGACCCTGCGCTTGTCAGGCAAGCGCTTGTTCTACTGAGCCATCTCCCCGGCCCCTTATAGTCATTTAATTTGTATTGTAGCAAAATCCACATAAAATTTGCCATCTTAGGCATGGTGGCACATGCTTGTAATCCCGGAACTCAGGTGGCTGAGGCTGGAGGATAGATGCGAGTTTGAGACCAGCCTAGACTACAAAGTGAGCTCAGGGTCAGCCTGAGCTGCATAGGGAGGCCCTGTCTAAAAAAAAAAATTGCCATCTCAACCACTTAAGGTGTGCGGCTCAGTACCCCCTACTGCGCTCACAGTAATGCACAGCCTTCGAGACTATGTACTCTAGGAGTGTTTTTACCACCCCAAAAGGAAAACCAAACTCCTCCCTCTGTCCAGGCCCTGCTGGGCAGTAAGCTGCTTTTCAGATCTGTCCTTGGCCTTTGGGGATATTTTCTAGAGATGGAGTCGCACAATGCATTGCCTTTTGGGTCTGCCTTCTTTAACTTTTTGGGTACGTGGATTGATCGCAGGGCCTTCACACTGAGCTACATCATCCAGGCCTTTTGATTTTTTGAGACAGAGTCTGGTTTTGCAGTTTGGGCTGCCCTTGAACTCACCATGGAGCCCAGGCTGGCCTTGAGCTAAGGGTGATCCTCCTGCCTCACATGTGCGCCATCCTACCCAGCTCTCCTTTTCTATCTTGAGATTGGGCTTTTCTAAATTCCCTCAGCCCCCACCCCACGCTGGGCACAGGGTCTTGCTAGTTGCTGAGCCGCTCAGGCAGGGCTCAAATGTGTGACCTTACTGCCTGACCCCCCAGAGTGTGGAGCTCGGGGCAGCGGCATTTCTTTCACCCGCTGCATAACATCCGCTTGTATGAATAAACCACACTGTGCGTATATGCTGAGCAGTTGACCTACCTTTCGGCTATTGTGAATAATGACATACATTTACACCTTTCAGGAATATGTATTCTTCTCACAGGGCCACAGGAGAGTGGTACGTCATAACATGTAATGTTTGAATGGCTGAAGTTCAGTAAGAATGGCCAGGTGTGACTGTAATCCCAGTATTTGTGGAGGCTAAAGCAGGAGGAACGCCATGAGTTTGAGGCCAGCCTCGTCTCCATAGTGAGTTCAAGGCCAACCTGGATGACATAATGAGACCCTGTCTCAAAAATAGCAACAACAGGACTGTCGAGATAGCTCAGTGGACTAAGTGCCCATTTTGGCAAGCTCAGGGACCAGGGTTGGATTCCGGGTCCCGCTTGCTGCCCCGGCCCTGCTGCCCCTGGGGCGCACTGAGCCAGCAACTGGGTCTGGGGTGTGGTGGTGCACATCTGTAATCCCAGTGCTGGGGAGGCTGAAAACAGGAGGATCACTATGAGTTTGAGCTGTGTAGTGAGACCCTGTAACAAATAAATTTTCAAAAAAAAGTGTTAGATAATCAATACATGTTAGAAGGTTTAGATTTTTTTTTTTTTTTTTTTTTTTTTTTTTTTTTTTTTGGATCTCTATAGGGTTGCCTATTTTGGACATTTCACTATACAGATTCATACAATGTATTTTGGGGGCACTGTCTTGGTATGTAGTGCAGGCTAGCCTCAAACTCACTGTGTTAATCCAGGCTGGCCTTGAACTCACAGCAATCTCCTCCCTGCCTCAGCCTCCCAATGGCTAGGATTTCAGAGTTGGGCCGGCACCCCCAGTGAGCCCTGACTTCAAAAGCATCATCAGCGCCTCGAAGCTCCGTCAGTCCAGAAGAACTGGTGGGGGACCCGATTGCTAGCTCGAGAAGTGTCACTCAGTGCCTGCAGCCCCAAGGGAGCATTTCAGCTCCTGAGCTGAACAGGCCTCGCTCTCTGGGGAAAGGGGCTCTTTGCAGCGTGCCTGGCCCTCTTGCTGCCTCCAGACTAGGTGGCTGGCAGCCAGAAGGCTGTAGATGCCAGCAGCTGAAAGGCTTGATGACCAGCCAGTTAAGTGGGGCTGAGTTTACGTTTCTGTTGTCAGCTCTCGTCATGTTCATGGTTCATCTGTCCCTTGTCTCCCGGTATGAATGGGGAAGACAGTGCACAAGCCAGAATTCCTGTCTCTTCCCGATAGCCGACTGACTGACTGACGGATGAGCAGTTTCCAGGCTGAGTAGAAGCCGTAGTTGCTAACTGCTTTCCAAACTCTTCTGCAGAATGTTCATTTCTTGGCTGGTGAAAGTGGCAAACGTTTCTGTTAAGAGGTTACCTCAGGCCTGTAAAATTTGAGAAATGTCTTCTGGCAAAGAGTGGTAATATATCGCTTCCCCACTGCCACTGTAGCGTGGGACAGACACCGAAACTCAGAGGGGTGACCATGGGCAGGCTGAGGCATGTTGCTCACATGTCTGGGGCAGGGGCAGCGGCAGCTGCCTGGGTGATGCAGTGGGGACAGGACAGGGACAAAAGACCTGGCCACTGGGAAAGGGGCAACTGCCAAGTACTCGAAATAGCAGTCTTTCTTTGTCTGTCTTTGTCTGTCAAAGCAGTCTGTCTTTGTCTGTCTGTCTGTCTCTCCCTGGCTTGAACCCAGGGCATCACTCTGAGCTATATCTCTGCCCCCCACAGTCCTTTTTTATTCTAAGACATGGTCTCGCTAAGTTGCTAAGTTGCTCAGGTTGGGGTCAAACTCGCTATCTTCCTGCCTCAGCCTCCCAGAGTGCTGAGATTACAGGCACGGGCCACCACACTTGGCATTCCTTTATCTGTGCCAGTTTAGGCAAAGGGAAGTGTTGGAGCCAGGTAGAGTAGAGGAGTTTTTGTATTTTTAACTATAAGAGCATTTACATAAAAGAGCTTTGTGGGTTACATTTTATCACTTCAGAATTAGCATCAGTTGTAGTTTAGGGTTTTGCAAGGGGAACAATACAATACAGGACACATTTTATAAGATCATTTTATAATCATCCAAAGAATCATGTACAAAGAGTGCATGATTTATTTAAAGGAAATCTGTCCACACCCTAAGGACCAAAGAATCCAGCTGAAAGGCTGGATACCAAAGTAGTGTACTGTGCGAGTCCAGCTGAGGCCTAGAGCCCATAACTATGCTGCCCACGAGTCCAGCTGGAGTCCCAGAGCCCACGACAATGTCTCATGCAGGCCCACTTCACGGAGCTGTGCTGGAAAGGCCCAGAGGTCAGCGGTCGAAGCGAGAACGTCCATGCCAGCGGGGTGAAGGGCCTGTGCCAGCAGGCTGAGGGATCTGCCCTGGAGCCTGGAAGCAATTACGAGCCTGAAAATAGAGTACAAGAATCACGCAGGTTTTCAGATCGCATAGGTCACTCTCAGAGTCCCCGGAACCTTATGAGGAGCAGGAGCACCGAGGTTTCGTTCATGCTGTTGCAGCAGCTCTCGGGCGGGCCTCCCCCACGCAGCACCGCCACGCTGGTTGTCAGCTGGGCGTGACGCGCTGCCCACCGGCTGGCATCCACCACGCACCCTCCGCCCTACCCGCGCCCTCCACGCAGTGCCCTCTTCTCACTGGGACCAGCTGTCTAGTTGACTATACCGCTCTAATATTCGAAACCAGTTTGAGAATTCAAGTGGTCAAAGGATCAAAGAGAGGATTAAAGCAGATGGGAACACCGCTGGCCCTTCGCATGGCATCTTCCTTAAGGCACTCGCGTGTCTGTTGGCACTGAGGGTGTCACGCGTGTCTGATCACGCACTTCGCGGGGACGGTTAGCCTGTGCTCCTCAGGCCAGGTCGGGCGGGATATTCAAGGTGGTTTGGTGATACGTGTCCTGAGGCAGGGAGATCACTGAGAATTCAAGGCCAGCCTGCCTTGTCTCAAAAACAAACGAACAAAAGGGTTTTACTTTTCCCAGGCAAAACATGGGTGCTCCCGCTCCTCTTGAGGTTCTGGAAACTCTGAGAGTTACCCCTTCAATCTAAAAAAAAAAAAACTGTGTGATTCTTGTACTCTGTTTTCAGGCTTTTAGTGACCCTGAATGACAAAAGGAATTGCCAGAGAACTTCTCTAATAATCAGTTCATTTTAAGACTGTTACACGTATTTTGTTCATTTTGTGTGTGGCAGAGTGGAAGGAGAGAAGTTCTTTCTCAGGGTCTTAATTTGTGTCAATTAGAGCCAGCCAAATAGCTCAGTGGATTAAAGCGCCCACAAGCAGGCATGGGGGGTGAGCGTCCAATCCCGGGCCTGTGGCCCCGCCCCCAGGGTGCACTGAGATGGCAATTGAGACTGGGCGTGGTGGCGCTCTCCTGTAATCCCAGCTCTTGGGAGCCTGCAAACAGGAGGATCGCTACAAGTCTGATCTAGTAGTAAGACCCTGAACACCCTGTAGACGCTTCCCTAAAATACAGAAATAAATAAATAAATAAAATAAAATGGGACAGCGAACCTTTTAGAGACAATGGCCCACACTTCAAGCCCGAGCCCTCTCACACATCACCAAGTGCCGGCACGGCAACTAAACCCGAATGTTAAGCTTTCAATTTAGAAAAAAATACAACTCTATATTAACATCGTTTGTCTTGACAGCAAAACAAACCACTGCTCTAAGGTATTTACTTTTTAAAAATTTTATTCACTTATTTCTCTTTTCTTTCTTTCGTTTTTTTTATTGTTTTTTTTTGTTTTGTTTTTTTACATTTATTGTGTGTGTGTGTGTGTGTGTGTGTGGCCAGCTCAGCCCACCAGGGGCGGGGCTGGGTGGCATGTGGTGCTGGGGGATTGAACCGCGGTCCCTGTGCTTTGCTAAGCTTGTTCTGAGTAGGTGCTTTAGACCACTGAGCCATCTCATCAGCCCTTTCTTTCTTTTTTAATCCAGTCTCCATAGAGACCGTCAAAAATTACCAATGCCGACTATATTTCCAGTCGTCATGGCGGGTATTGGGAAAAGATTTCGATTAGCAATAATCGCACCTCGGATGAACCTCCTTGGCTACGACATGGCCACTGTGCAAAGCTGTTCCTCACTTATTTCTCAGAGACAAGGTCTCCAAGTTGCTCAGAACTCCTGTGTTTAAGTGATCATCCTTTTTGTGTGTTTGTTTTGCTTTTTTTTTTTTTTTAAAGCAGTCATCCTGCCTCAGCCTCTTAAGTGGTTGGGATGGTGGAGACTCCTGCCAGAGTTCAATAAATATCAATTTTATTGAAATATACCCAGCCACATCTCATGAAAGAAAACAATCTCAGCTGAGCACTTTGGTGCACGCCTGTGGTGATCCCAGCCCTTAGGAGGCTGAGGCAGGAGAACTGCCACAAGTTAGAGGCCAGCCCTGGCTACATAGCAAGACCCTGGGTAGAAAACAGAGAGAGAAGGAGGGAGGGGAAGAGGGAGAGGGAGAGGGGGAGAGGGGGGGACAGAGAGTGAGAGAGAGAGAGAGAGAGAGAAGAGAAACAAGGAAGGAAAGAAAGAAACAAAGAAAGAGGAGCTGGGGAGGTAGCTCAGTGGTCTAAATGCCTGCCTGACAAGCACAAGGATCCAGGTTAGATCCCTGGTTCCGCAGACCATGCTGTCCTACACCGAGTCAGCCACTGAAACCAGGTGTGGTGGTGCTTGCCTATAAGGCCAGTGCTGGGAGGCTGAGACAGGAGGATCGCTACGAATCCCAGCTGCATAGCGAGACCCTGTAGCAAATAAATAAGATTTTTTTTTAAGTAATAAGAAAAGAAAGAAATATTTCCTCCTCTGGGTCCAGAAGTCCAAAGCCAGGCCTGCAGACAGCAGCCTTCTGGCCACTTCCTCTCCTGAAGCAGTGAGAGGCCTTGTCTCTTCGGCTTCACTCCTAACCCAGTGAGATTCAAGCCAAGGCCTTGGAGCAGAGGAACACCCCAGCCCTAATGTATTTATTTACTTTTCTTTTGTGACAGTCTAACACTCTAACTTGCCATCCTCCTGCCTCAGCCTCCCAGAGGGCTGGGATTCCAGGCATGTGTCAACATAACCAGCTTCAAATGTCTTTAAAAGACTCAAGTGTAAGCTGAGGAAGTAGCTTGGCAGTCTAAGCACCTGCCTGGCAAGCACAAGGACCCGGGTTCGATCCCAGGTACCGCATGCCATGCCGGCCCTGTATTCGAGGGCTGGCTATGCTAACCACCAAAACCAGATATGGTGGCATATGCCTGTAATCCTAGCACTCAGGAGGCTGAGACAGAAGGATCTCTGTAAGTTTGAGCCCGGACAGGGGGCTATAAAAGTGAACACAAGGCTGGCCCTAATTGCATAGTGAGACCCTGCCTCAAAAAACCAAAATACATACCAAAAAAACCAAAATCAGTTTCCTTCCTCTTTGAAATGGAAATAATGATCTTGTGCTCCGGTCACCGGTGCGGGGTGGTATTAAGCAAGAGCATCTGAGTTCTGGTACTCAGCGTAAAGAACTCAGTAAAGGCGAATTACTACTATGGTAGGTGTGAAGTGTGCATCTATCCTTAAGTGGTGGATTGTGAGTGGCTTCTATTTTCTTTTGTGTGGTTTTTCTTTTCTCATGTTTTTAAAATTTTATTGGGAACCAGGCACGGTGGAGAACAGCTATACCATAAGCGCTCGGAGACTGAGGCAGGAGGATCGCTTTGAGTTTGAGCCCAGCCTGCGTTACAAAGTGTGTTCAAGGTCAGCATGAACTGCATAGTGAAACCCTGTCACAACAGATACAAAGGAAAAGTTGCATTGGTGTTACGGTTTTGTCTAGGTGTCCCCCCAGAGGGACACCTAGTCACGGGGGCTTCTGGAGTTTGTGATTATTGTGGGCATGCATGCTGCACCTGCCCTGGGACAGGTAATATGCATTGCGAAGTGAGGAGGGGAGGGAGGCTGGCTAGCTGCCTCAGCTGCGGCCACCACCAGGAAAGGTTGCTCTCTGCCGTGTGCCACTCTGCCGTGGAGCCAGCTGCGTATGGTTTGAAACCTCCACTAACTGTGAGCTAAATAAACCTTTCCTTCCTTCATTTTGTTTTTAACATTTAGTGTGTGTGTGTGTGTGTGTGTGTGTGTGTGTGTGTGTGGCCAGCTCAGCCCACCAGGGGGCGGGGCTGGCTGGCATGTGGTGCTGGGGGATTGAACCGCGGTCCCTGTGCTTTGCCAAACTTGTTCCAAGTAGGTGCTTTAGACCACTGAGCCATCTTCCAGCCCCACCTTCCTTCATTTTGGGTGTCGGGTATTTGTCCCAGCAACGAGAGAAGAGTAACTGATACAATTAGTATATTTTAGCTAGATTATCTATAATAATCCCATTCATCATCAGGATCTTGTTCCTGCACATGGTATATCTTTTTTTTTTAATATAGTTAGCACAGGGTCTACAGGGTCTCACTACACAGGTCGGACTCATAGTGATCCGCCTGTGTTCAGCCTCCCAAGCGCTGGGATTACAGGCGCACGCCACCACGCCCAGTCTCAGTCACCACCCTGGGGGCGGGGCCAACATGGCATGTGGTGTTGGGGATCAAACCGCAGTCCCTATGTCTGCCTAAGCAGGTGCTTTAGTCCACTAGCTATCTGCCCAGCCCTTAGGTCTTTGAATTTGGGAGTGTGTAATTTTTTTTTTTTTGGAGTTCTTTATATATTCTAGATTGTAATCCTTTGTCTGAGGAACAGATGGGAAATTTTTCCCCCACTCTGTGGGTTGTCTCTTCACTCTGTTGGTGGTTTCTTTCACTGTGCAAAATGTTTTAAATAAACTGAGATTCAAGTAGTTGATTCTTTATATTTCCTGTGTGAACAGGATTTTGTCCATAAAGTTTCTGCCTATATCAGTCCCAAGAGTTTTACCTATTCATCTCCCAGCATATTTAGTATTTGTATTTTAATATTTATATCTTTGATCCATTTCAACTTTAGTGCATAGTGAAAGCTACAGGGCTAGTTTTAATCTTGGGCACATGGAAAGTCAGTTTTTTCAGCACATTTATTGACGAGGCTATCTTCCTTCCATTGAAGGTTTTGGGTTGTGTAGTGGTGTTCAGCTCGCTGTACTCCACTGAACTGAACTAACGTGGTGCTGGCTGCGGGAGGCCCACCTGAGGGTCGTTGCCAGCAGCAGAAGAGGCAGAACTGAGAAGCTGTCTGTGCTGTTAGGGAAGCCGCCTGGAGAAGCTGTCGGAGCTGTTGGAAGCCGCTGGTTCTCTTGGGCTGTTCTGCTGGAGGACCTTGTCATGCTGGCTTTCCTGCAGTCCCTGTGCTTTGCTAGGCTTGTTCTAAGTAGGTGCTTTAGACCACTGAGCCATCTCACCAGCCCAAGTACAAGTTTCTGAGTTCAGTTCTCAGTGCGGGGGTCGGGGGGGGGGAGGGAGAGAGAGATTAGTATGCTGTTTGGGAATGTCATTCAAAGCCATGGCTACCATTCTGGTATATAAAAATTGCTATGTGTATCATCATGACCCTAGGTGTAAAGACTTCAGAATTAGGGCGCATAAAAGGCTGGCATTTTAGGAAACAATTATGAGACATATATATACAATCTTTTAGGACAGGGTCTCCAGGGTCTCACTATGTAGATCAAATTCGTAATGGTTCATGTGTTCAGCCTCCCACAAACTGGGATTACAGGTGCGCACCACCACGCCCAGTCTCAATTGCCATCTCAGCACACCCCGGGGCGGGGCTGGCACGGTGTGGGATGGAACCAGGCTGCTGTGGCTGCCTAGGGTTTTGGTGGTACTGGGGACTGAACTGAGGACCCTGTGCTTGCCAGGCAAAGAGTTGTTCCACCGAGCTATCTCTCTGTCTCCCCCCCCACACACTTTTTAAGACAAGTTCTCACTTCCTAGTTCAGGCAGGCTTGAGGTCACCACAGCGACTGTCCTGCCTCAGCCTCCCCCAGCATGCACCACCCACACATCGCTGACCTCTGCTTCTTATAAGACTGCACGGGAAGGAAGTGGTGGAGAGTACTCCTCTTTCTATCTTGTAGAACCTCAAACTGGAATTTCCAAGGCTGTGTCCCTGCTGGATCCTGCCATTCCTGACGCGTGCCTGGCTCACATATCGCTGACTTCCGTTCGGGTCGTGCTGTTTCTGTCCGGCCTGGCTGTAAATGGGCCAGCGCGCCAGCCTGTCTGCCTGGGATTGTAAACAGCTGGCGGAGAGGCAGGGCTTAGGGAGTTCTCTGTGTGAATCATCAGCGCAGCTTAGTGGCACTGCAATTAGGGGTTTAATAAATGTGTTGGTCGTGGGCTTCCGAATGAGGCAGATTCCCATTCATTATCTTCACGGTCCAGCCCGGACTCCAGAGGAGCAGGAGAAACTGGACTTGATCTGTTTTTACTACCTTGGGAGTTCTGGAAGCTGGTACCAGATGCGTTTAGAAGTCTAGCAGTGATGTCTGTGACGCTGTATTTGCCCATTTCTGTAGCTGTTTGATGTAATATTTTTACATATACTTAGAAACTTGAAATGTTTTAAAACATGATTCACTTCAGTGTGAAACTCAAACTTGGGGCTATTCAAAGAGCTGACTTTCAAGTAGGTGGAGAATTACAGTGCTTCGTTTTCGGTTTCACCAATTATGGTTAAGGAGGGGAGGCTCACATTTTGACTTGGGGGAGGGTGGGGGTGCTGGAACGAACCCCCCCGGCCTTACACCTGCGAGGTTGTGCCCTACACTGAGCTACAACCGCGGCTGCTCTATTTTCCACCCTTGTTTTCTTCCCTGAAAGATTTTAAACAGGAGCCAGGCGCAGTAGAGCACAACTGTAATCCTGGCACTCTGGGAGGCTGAGGCAGGAGGATCACAAGTTCAGGGGCATCTCAGGCCACTCAGCTAGGATTTTTTAAAAAAGGGTTTTGGGGGAGA